GGAGATGCACAAGACCTGCCCGTGAAAGAGATTTTGGTGGAGAAGCTGTTGCGCTAGAGCAACCCCACCCCCTCAGGCACTAAAGTTAGAGTCCAATGGCATAACAAGTGTTACGATTGGTAACTTCTTTGGCTGCAGTGGATAAACAAGGCTCTCCTCAGTACTCCAGCCTGCTCTACATACTCCACAATGCGTTGCTGCACTGCCTTCCTGACCAGTGAACCTTGATTGGTTTCATTCACTCATTCCGCCGGTATAGGCTTTGCATGCAGGGTGAGTGTGCCCATAGGTAGTACTGGCTTAGCTTAGTAGTAGGAAAAATCCTGACCTGACTGTAATTAGTAATCTAAAGTAGTAAATAAGCAGTCTAAATACATTCAGTATAAATGCATATATGCTATAGCTTAATCACAAAAATACTGTAATTATATTCCATTACTCCTTTAATATGTTTAATACATTTCTACATTAATAATATAATAACATTTGTTATGAATATCTCACATTTCTGCCATAATACCATGGTGCAGTTAGTGTTACTATAGTAAATCCATGGTAGATGATCTACTGTTTCATCTGGATTTAATCTAGTTTAAATCATAGAGTCATTTGTGTTCTTTGCTGAATTCAAGTGCTTCACACTGGATTTCACAGCGCTGTTTAGTGGTCGCGTGACCGAGACTTATCAGCGAGTAAACGCATCTGCTCTAGTAAGCTCAAAGCCACTGGAAGGCAAGTCTGCAACCTTTAGCCAAAAAAGCATAACAACTAATGCTAACGCTGTGGCTTTGGGGGTATGCAAGGAAGGAGACAAAAGGCCATTGCATGATTGGCTGAGGTGCCTCACGTGATCCAAGTTAGCGGTCATGCTTTTTCCAATGGTTGGTACTACAGACCCTCGGATCTACCAATAATAAGGCAATCTCTGGTAAGCTTGCGCTGCGCTGCCGTTTGAACTTTGAGCCGAGCGGATAATTGGTCCGTGTGGTTTGGTTCAAATGAGTAGCACTCTTTCATTCTGCTTTTAGAGCATAAACATTGTATCGAACATTTATCGAACTCTTGTTCTTGTATTATCAAGGAAAATTATATCGTGATAATTATCATTATTGTTTTATCGCCCATCCCTACTACTATTACAGAAATTTTACCTATTTAATTTATGTATGACTGACAAATATGCACCACATATTAGTTTATGTAAAAACTGTGTGATCCAAATGGACGAAAATTTTACATGGAATTCAAATATATTAATCTTATATTTAAGCCAAACATTTTTTTGAGTGATAGCTGACAACCACCAGGGAAGTTATTCACATTGTAGAGAAAATAACACGCAACAGTGAGACTCAAAGACTAAAAGCTGAGAGGCAACGCTAAGCCTACTTGTCAAGTCAGCGCTATTATTTATATATGATCCACCTGGGGTTAGCTATGAGTGGGGCTCTTATTCATCGCCCTTCCTGCTGAGTACACACAATCTGGCCATATGGAGATACTTACAAGAAGCTCATGTACAGATTTCCACCTTGTTTTTTTATGTTTGGTCAAGTTTTCCACATGTGGCCATGGTTAGTGATCAGAGGAGAGTGAGAAAGGGGTATCAAGAAAGCCTATCAAATTACATATTGGCTAATCTCTCCTGCTCTCTTTCAGATCTCCAGCAAGCACTCGTGTGGGCAGACACGCGTGGGGGTTGTCACTTTCCGCCTCATATATTTGAGAATGGCTGACTTATGGCGGGGTTCCCTGACCTGGCTCAAAGGAGGCCTCTGCTAATGTTTACCAGTGCACTTGAGGGAATATCTTTCTGGTCTAGCCTCTTGACCAAGATAAACTATGTTTAAAAGTGAACTTTTTAGTGTTGGCGTTGTAAAGAACGGAATCAAAGACAGCCTGAGCAGTGCCAACGTCAATGGAGGTGCAAGGTGAGAGGGACAAATTGTACTTCAGAGAATTTTACTGAGTGGATACAGTACGTCCAGCACTCATGTCTGTCATCTATGAGGCTTTGATTCACACCAGACAACCCTGACAGACCACATGACCCAGCACATGGTGACACAGAAGGGAATGGTTTACAGTTCTGTGCAGTTGTGAGAGACCTGAGGGATGAATTACTACATAAACACTACCATACTTGGCATAGTCACTAAACAAGTATGGAAATTGTCGGAAATTGCTTTTCAATTACTAGACAAAATGTCCATGTGGCCATAAGGAAATGACAAGGCACCAGAACAAACAAAAAAAATGTGTTTGAAAAGAAGCTAACACAAGAATGCAAATTCTGATAATAGAAAAAACTGTGACACAAAATGCTTGATCATTGTTCTCAGATGATTTAATTTGCTAGTATAATGCCCTGGATTAATTGGTGATGTGAAAGTATGGGTTCACTGACAAGAAATTCTCCATGACCTCTGACCCTCACATTTACCATATTTGTTTTGCAGCTAGTTGATGTTTTTAACTATTCAACATGTCTTGAGCAGCATTGGAGAACTTTACTTTTCAAAGTTCTATTATAAAAAGTTATATTGTCAATTTTCATGGAAAGCAAGCTATTTCTGCAATACTTTTTTATTTAGTGATTTAGTAGAGACATTTCTTCAAAGCAACTTATAGAAACATATTTACAAAGACATGAATAAAAAGCGACTCATCCTAAAGGCGTGGTCACATTTACCACTCTTCATATAATTTTTGCAGGCAAAATCCAGTAATTTCAATCGGAATCCATGCAATCAAAATTTTGTGTGAGGGTGAAAGTTTTCCACACATAGGTTTTGTAACAGGCTCAATATGGTCACACGAATTTGCGACACTGGCCAACAGAAAACGTATAGGTTTGAAAGTGATTTTTGTGTGAGCTGTGCTTTTGACTAAAGGCAATTTTGTTGAACTTTCGCTAATGTTACCATACCTTTCTTCTCCAGACTAGAATACTTTTTTACAATTTAGGTAATTTTTTGCTTTGGACAACCATTTGTCCCCCCATCCAAGTTTACTTTATATGCAATGGCATATTATTTTATGGCTTAATCACTGTGCTTTTTAATGTGACAAAAGTGTATTTACACAATCACAATGTCACACACCACAAATTATACAGTTTTGACAAAAATTATATTATGACTCTTGTATTGTTACCTTCAGCACAAGCCAACACTTAGTATACAGTATTTGATTAAAAAACTTACAAACACTTTGCTGATGTTGTAAATGTTTGTAAACGACTGAAAAAGTTTGGCTCTAAAATTGTTATCTGAGTCTGAACATTTACCACATTTACCATTTTACATTCAATAATGCAGCTTCAACTTTCAAGAATGATAAGACGTTCAAAATAATTTTTCACTTTATTTAAATTAGATACAATAAATGAAGAATGAAACCCCTGTGGTTTAAAAGTGCCTGTGAATGCTAATGATCTGCTTTATCACCATTGTGCCCATCAGTAAGATGCTTTAGAAATCATACAGCACCTGTACATCTGTGTCTATATCTCAGATTCTCTGGTGTCAATTTATAAACTTTCCTAAGTTTATATTGTAAAAAAGAGATTCATTTTTTAACTTTTTTAATATTACAAAATATTTATATATCACTTGTTTCATGGAATATTATTGGTACCTTATTGCACTGAATAATGGTGTTGGATCCCAAAGCTCTTGACCAGCAACTCTGGAGAGCTTAATTCAATTCAATTCAAGTTTATTTGTATAGCGCTTTTCATGAAACAAATCATTGCAAAGCAACTTTACAGCAAATTAAGTTTCTACAATATTTAGTGGTAGCTTATCAGTGGTGACTTTATGCAGCTTAAGAGCCGGTGAGCACCGGTGAGGCTTTAAATGCCTTTATTAAGATTGTTACAAAGAGCCCTTTCTTTAGCTCAACAGATTGGGTTCCCACAGTTCAGCCCTCAGGGGCCTCTCTAAAGGGCAGTCTCATAGGCCACGCAGGGCAGGTATCTTACACACAAAACATCTAGACTTCCACCCAGGGAAGTCTCTTTGAATCACTGACTAACTGATATCTCATTGTCTCAAGCTTTCTTTCACTCTCAATTACAAACTTACTAAGCAAAGAGTCATTTCTACAAGACTCCTCATGATAAACTGTCAGTGTGAAACAAAGACAGACATCAATGAGCTTAAATACTGTGAATTAAGTCAAATTTGTCACCAAAAAAAGTATATTCAACAAAATGTGTATTTTAGTATGAACAAATAATTTCACTACACATTTTAAAAGCAATTTTTTCTCTGTTTACCAAACCCTGGATACGATTTCTGACATACAACAAGATATATGGAAATAACCATATTTTCATTTAGTAGTTCAATTTTCAACATATCTGTGTTGCTCTGGATGTGGATGTGCATACATCCAGTTATGATCAATGAAAATTGTACAATTTAAACTGACTGCACAGAATCTGCAATCTACATATAATTTGAACAAGCAGCAAAAATTAATTTTTGAGTGCAGGCCATCTGAAATGCAAGATAAACTTGGTTTCAAACCCACATATGAGTAATTAGTGTTAAATAGTAACTAGTCGCCCTTGACTGTAAATAAAAGAATGCACCTCGGTTCAAAGACCCCCCAGCAATGAATGACAGTTAGGCATAATCTGTTTGTAATACTTACAACATATGGACTTCAAAACTACTCATTTATTTTACAATGTTGTTACTCCATCTAAGACACCTGACAAACAGACAGTGTTATTCCGGTATCCCAGAAGGAGTAACAACTGGTGTGATATTGAAACTGGAACATGGTTGTCTGGTTTGTGGTGAAACTGCCAGTGTCAGGAACTACTTAATGCACAAATGCCAATTTCATCATCTTATAATGCAGCTTTGGCAAACTAAAGTCCAGTAAAATAACATGCAGTATTAGGTTTACTTGGATGAAGTAAAAACTGAGATCTCCTAAGCAACAGAAACATGGGAAAAATAAGTGAAAGATTTTAACAGGTTTACCCTGGGTCCTCTCTTTCCTGGTAATCCTGGCTCGCCGGGAGGTCCAGGGGGTCCCTGAAAGAGAAGAAGGGAGGGAAAATTGTGACAAAACTAGTGATTTAGTGTTACATATCTACCTGCTGACATTGAATGAACTCTCAAACAAGGCAGTAATCGCCCTATTGGATGGAGGTAGTGAACCCTAGTCAATGTTTTAGGATACTTTGTGACTTAGACACTTCAGTGAAAGTGTTTCAGTGAAAACAGTGCAGGTACATCATCTAGCTTTGAATCAATCACACACATTAATTAACTGAGCTTGCATTTAACAAGAGGTCAGTGTTCATTTATAGAATTGTGTTTTCCTTTAAGAAGAGAAAAAAACAAGAGCACAAGCAGGTCTAATAAATCATATCCAGCATTACTTGTGCATCTGGCAAGAAAGATCACAAATGTTTGGCAATGACAGTCAATGACTTTAATTATCCATGATAATTTTGATATAATGTAGCAGCTGCAAGCTTCTTTGAAATTTGCAAAATTGTGCCAACACCCACCTAAGTGGCATATACATCTGATGACAACTTTGAGCAAATGGAGAACGTTGCTTTAAAACGTGTTGCTTTAAAATAATTCTATGTGACAAATCCTGGCAATGTTTTGTAACACCTGTAGACCTGGCAAGATCCCACATACTCATACTGAGTGCGATGCTGCCAGGATTCCACAATGTTTTCAGGTTTCCTGTTTCTACTCATTTTGAAAGCAACACTCACTAATAAAAGTTTATTTAAAAGGTGTATGTTACTAATGTTTTCAAAAACTCTACAATAAAACTCTAAATTTGAATTTCATGAATATATTGACTCTGCCTTTAGTTTTTGTGCAATAAACGTCCTTGTTCAAGTAAAATGAGCTCTGCTTCACTTAGCATTATAATAACCATTAGGATTCTATGGAGTAAGATCAACATAATAAACCAAGAGACATTGTGCACACTGTGTCTGTTTGATATGAGTGACATTAATATGGTAATTTTGAGCTCCAATGTGAAAGAAAGACAGGAGAGTCCCACTGAGCCCCCTACTATTTCTCTTCCATGCGGCAAACTTCCTGAATGAAAACAATCTCTCTTTCTCTCTCTGCCTCCAGGAAAGAATGAAAGATTAGAAAAGGAGGAAACAAGGCCTTTTTATAGTAGTTGCTTAAGGAGATCGTTCCTGAAAAGGCACAGTGTTATCTGTGTGACAGCCATACTGAACAGCACATCTGGTTGTTGTTTGTTGTTGGAAAATAGTTCAGGACTTCACTGTGACGGTATATTCGGTAATACACGGCACACTAGTGTTGGATGAAGTTGGCAGACTATACATCAAATATCAACTACTTTCAGTAGAGCACAATTCTGCTCCCATCAAAGCTTGTTTTAAATTCTATCTTGAAAAAGGTGACACTTATGCACAAGACATATAAACTAATCCAGGAAGACTTGAAGTAACTAGCAAGTATGTTAAGTGATTGATTTAATTAATTCTCATCCAATAACAAAGCAACCTTTGTTTAAATGATTCACTAACAAACTGATATTAGTTGCATTAGTGTACCAATGTTGGGTTGCAATGTTTGCATGCATCTACCATCCCACCGCCACCATTTTGGTCCCTCAACCTGGTGACAGCTGTTAGGTTCCTTACCCTGCTGACCTCCTCTAGAGTCACACTATAGTCCTATCACTAAATAACATACTTTTTAGTATACATCCTACCAGAAAGAGTCTTTCTAGTCAAACAAAAATTCCCAATGATTTACTGGATTTGTTGTCATCTAAAATTAATGTGAATGTTAAAGGGGTCATATGATGCGATTTCAAGTTTTCCCTTCTCTTTGGAGTGTTACAAGCTGATTGTGCATAGATAAGATCCCTGAAGTTGCAAAGACTAAAGTCTCAAAACCAAAGATATATTCTTTATCAAAGTTAAGACTCTGTCACGCCCTAAAACTGCTCGTTCTAACACGCCCCCAGATATCTAGGTCACTATGTGGAAATAGTTGCATAATGCACTCAAATGTGCATGCAAAGAAAGAAGGTTTCAGTAATCGCAGTTAGTGTTGAAGCAGCCATGTCAGGGAGACACTGTGTGTTTCTAGGCGAAAGCAATATCACTTTATTTGGCCTTCCGAAAGTAGATGCATTTAGGAATTTTTTTTGTGTCTTAACCGCGGCTTGTGTACTGCATCATTACTGTGTCTGTTCCCCTTTCGGGCTTGAACTGATGGTAAAACTAATGACATTATTTACTGTCTTTACATTTATTTTGAAAGATGAAGCTCGCAATTATGGTAAGGGGAGTTACATTTCCGTCATCATATGACCCCTTTAATACTGTAATAACAGTGCAGATTTTTTAGGCTGCACTGCACAGCAAAAATAAATAAATCAATAAAATAAATCAATAAATCAATAATTTTTTAATTATAATAAATTTTTGTTTTGTTTTTGAGTAAACTTTCTTATAATTTAATATAATTTAAAATTGCATAAGATATTTAACACTTTTTCTTGTTTTAGTGGAATAAATCTAATCACATTTAGGTTTAAAACAAGAAAAAAAATATGGTAATATAGGGTAAAGAACAATAAATAATTACAGATATATATTCTCTGAAACAATTTTGCTTCTCAAGTGAATTTATCTTGTCTCAAGGATGTTTAGATATGTTGAGTGGAAAACAAGACAAACTGCTGACTAAGATTTTGTCCAAGCCTCTGGTTTGTGACCTCATTCTTTAACTACAAGGAAAAAATGCATAAGCATTACACAGACAAAAACCCACTGGCTTATAATGCCTTTCCAAATAATTTTATAAACTAGGCTTAAGACCAAGACCACCAAAAGCTCAAAGGCAACAATGATGGCACCATTTTCCAGCCTTCAACCTTCACTTTGCACCCAGACAAGGTTGTTTAACTAGTAAAAGATGTAGTTGTGTAGTGTGTGGTGTATTATGTATTGAAATCCTTAAGAGGTAATGGAAACCAAATTACAAAGAATTCATATTAATGCATTGCTACAACCAGCACTTAAATACAGCATATGAAGACAGATGACAAGGCCAAGGCGCACAGAACACGTGGCCACAGCCAATAATTCACATTTCACCATTCTTCAAAATAAGCAAAGCAGCACACTTGCCATCTGGCCTCCATAAGACACTGTTTAAAAAGAAAGAAAATGGTCTTCATACCATGAAGTGCTAGTGGCATGTTGCAAGCTGAAGACCTTGTTGCTATGGTTTTGTAACCTGACTTAGCTTTGAGTATTTAAAAAAGTAAGTTCACACTGTCTTTAAAGTAATCAGGAAAAATCCTGCTAGAATAACATTTTACCGTAAAATAAATGGTTAATTTTACTAGCTGATAGACAGATTGGCTTTTTTGGGAAGTTGCACCGCATGGCAATTTACAGCTTGAACTAACTGCCTGTTCATAAAAAGGTCAAATCATCTGATATTTTAAGAGACTTACTGATTTGACTCTCAGTCATGAGGGTCTGCAGGGGTCCTCTCAATGATATAATTCATGTTTCATGTTTTTTGCATGTTTCTCCATGTTGCTTGGACCACATGACTGTTGTTTAGCTACATATTTTTGATTAGGCAGACAAAAGTTTTTTTTCACATATGAGTAAGCAGTAAAGCAGCTAAAACATTTACAATAATGTTAAAATCCCCCCCCCCCCCCAAGAAATAATAACATTACTTAATAAGGTTTTGACAGTTCTATCAACCCCCCCAAATTTCAATTTTTTTTACTTTGAGTCACCAACCAATTGATTGAGACCTCAACGATTTGTTTCTTTCTTTCTTTATTTTTACCGTTGGCCTAATAACTACTTCCTGAACTCGCCATGTCTTTCGAAAAATAATCTATCACTAAGTTGTCAATATCTCAGCACCAACTAAAAAATACTGATGAAGCCCTTCTATGTGCCAGACTTTTTCTAACCAGAATGTTAGCAGAAAATGTTACAAATCTCCAACTACTAGTCCTGTCTCAGTCAGTTTCAGTGCATACAAATGACAAAAATGCAAAGAATATAGCAACAAACTATATTTTGAAACTATATTTCGGTTTACGCCACAAATTAAATTTAATATCAGTATTAAAGAACATCCTACCGGTGGTCCTGGTTCTCCTTTCTGTACTGGTGACCCAGCCAAGAGGGAGAATTGGGTTGGTTCAAGGTCGAAGGTTTGGAAACCATCCGTGGCTGCAGGGGTGACAGGCTCAAAAGAGCTGGGTTTGGAGGTCTCCTTTGGTGAATGTCTGCGTGATGCTAATGTTGTCGTCTTCGACACCCTGGCTTTGCTATAAGGTTTAGGTTTTATTGTGGCAGGGGTCTGCATTTGGTCCAGTATGTTCTTCTGTTGGCCTGTTGGTCCGGCAGTGACAGCCATCTCATTTTCTATCAATATCTGGGGCTTTACAGATGCCTTCATGATGTTCTTCCTGGGGTTGCTTTGTTGAGTTGGCTTTGGAGATATTTGTGATGTCCTACTCCCAAAGGAGGCCATGGCAGTTTGTGCTGTGGCCTGCAGAGGGAGCTGTAGTGTGGGCTGGGCTATAGTCGGTGGCACCGTGCTTTGTACAGACTGAGATGTAATTAGAACAGAGGTGTTCAGGCCTTGTGAGGTTTCATGATTAACGTGTACTTTCTCTTGTGCTAATGAAAGATGTCTGTTGTTTACCTCTGTTACCACATTTGGGGTCTGAAGGGTGACAGATAAATTGGGATCCAGGGGTAATAGCGGTAAAAGAGGAGGGAGGTTTGGTCGATAAGTGTCTGCTTCCCTGCACTGTTTTTTAATGTACTTACAATAATTGTGAGCTGCCTTAGCAGAGGGATGAATATCAAACTGACAGATGGCTCCTTCAAACTGCACCGAGTTCTGGCTCATTTTTCCCAATCGAAAGGAGCCCTCTGGATCCAGCATTTCCTCATTTTTAAAATGCAAATTTGCATGTACACTTGTCTTCCCACAAGAAGTATATAATGTAACACTTTGGGTCTGGATTTCCAAAGCCAGGTTGTGCCACTGGCCATTGTGAACATCATAATCAAAATTTACAGTGTTCTTTTGGCCCAAGTAAACTAAAATTTGCCCCGGGATGAACTGCACCCCTAGCTGCAGTTGTTTCCTCTTTGTCACAATGGTGAAGAGGAAAGCATTGTTTATGCGATGCGAACATACGCTGAGGATGAGACAGAATGCCGAGCCCAGTGACGCAGGGATGACGGAGCTCACTGGGACATCAATTCGTGCCCTCTGGGTTAGGATGACTCCCGATTTGAAGGGGATGACACCTTGAGGTGTGAAGCGTGTCCCAGATGGTCTTTTTCCAACCAACCCCAGTCTTTGCAGCACGTCCACATCTACAAAAAGGAAAACCACAGATAATTGCCACAGTAATCACTACACATACATGTTCTGGATTTAGGCTCTAGGAGCAAAATGGATCTCGTCGCAGCCAACCGAAGGCTTGCAGCTGCTGCTCACCAGTGTTGGGCAGTAACGCATTACTTATTAACACGTTACTGTAATTTGATTACTTTTTTAGTAACGGAGTAATTTAACACGTTATAATCTAGAGATTGTAAAAAGGATGTAGCACATGCACTGTCGAGTCAAGTGCCAGTGGATTAGAGACCTGCTCCCGCGAGACCCGACGCAACAGAGTGCGGCGCGGGACAAGATGGGCGAGTGCTGGCGCGGGCTAGGGGTGGACGCTCGTGGGGGTGCGGGATGCGGGACAATAAAATGATTCACGGGACTCCCGCAAAATAGAAATATGTAAACATAGAATATCTAAAACAAATAAATTGTTATTAATCTATTGCAAAAAAGCAACATGAACTAATATAAAATATAAATGATTAACAGGTGCAAGCGTATGCAGAGTTTATATTTAGGCTATAACACGTGTTTGCAGCGTTGAGCAATGCAGTGCTGAAATTTGCGTGCTCATGAATCCTCTCATTATAACACACGAATTGTAGACATTATGAAAGATTCATTATGCATATATTTATTGTGTTATAACAGAGATTTGTGGGATTCCGATGAACTGAGATGTCTTTTAGAGATTATAAATGCAGCGCTCTTTGCTGGCATTCTGCCATGCCAAACCATGCACGCAGCAGTCACTTGCTTTAGTTAAAAATATCAGTGTTCTGTGAATGTTGATGCTTTAATAACAAATATTTATCGGGAGCGTGTATGCTGGGATTTCATAAATTTAATGAAGAAAAAAGTAACGTAACTAGTAATGTAACTAATTACTAATTACTTTTGAAATAAAGTAATCAGAACAGTAACGTGATTACTTTTAAAAGGAGTAATCAGTAATCAGTAATTTGATTACATTTTCAGAGTAACTTGCCCAACACTGCTGCTCACACACTGAGAAGCTGAGCTCATTACAGGAACAGATCAAAAGCATATGTAGAACATATGCGGCAAAGGTAATGTTTCATCTGGGGTAAAGCTTCAGTTTTTCATTAAATGCTCTGCTGATATTTTTACACTTAGAAAAATAACACTGTGTGGGCTACAGATTGATCACCTACTACAAATTCATTAGATTGAGGTCTGCAATAAATTACAGCAAGTGAAGTGAGTGGGAGTATGCATCTCCAACGTCCCAGTACGATTTACGAAACCACAAGTATATTAGACTGTATTGACTGAAGTGTTCCAGTTTATCATGTGGATTTTGGTATAAACCTGCAAAAAATATATTCTTCTTAATCTGTATTTTTTGTCTTGTTTCCCAATAAAAATATCAAAACATTCTTAAAACAAAATAAACTTACTTTTTAAGCAAGCCCTTTTTCTTTTTATAGTTATTTTTAGTGGCAGCATAACCATGATTATTTGTTGTGTTTTTTAATTAAAACAACGGGGTTAAGAAAAATTAACATCTCTGAAGTCTTATAACAGTTTTGCTAACTGATATTTTTTATTGGAAATCAAAACAATAACACTGATTATGAAAAAATGTTTTCGCTTTATTTCCACTGGTATGACCAATATCAGTAACATTCCATGTGATCCCTTTTATAACTAGTAAATTTTACAAATTACAATGCGTAAGGCAGCAGAAGAAACAGTTAATGCAATCTGTCTTAGGGCTGTCACTTCTGAACAGTCAGTAATGAGTTTAAAATTAAAACAAATGAGAGTATGCATCACAAAACCAAATCTAACCCAAACACATATCAACTAAACAAAATCCAGCTTAACATTTGCAGTTATAAAATATATCCAGTGAGTACTAAATGAAAAACATATGTAAATGGAATAATGTGCATGGACTTTTTCCTGTAAGCCCTGTATCACTAAACAGATTATGATCAGCAGATTGGACAGGATTGTTGAAAGAAAGAACTATGCAGTAGTATTGTAAACAAATCTAAACAGAGTTACTAACATATTGGCCACTTCATAATTGAGAATGTCTGAAAGAGGTGACAGATCATTACCTGACAAACAGCAGGAAAACAACTGCTCTGAATTTAGAAAATTAACGATCTGAATAATTCCACATAAATCACATGAGATCCTGACACAAAACTACTTGATGAACATCCAACTAAACACACGATGAACATCCACTGGTTCTGCTCACAAATCACAGTAAGGAGTGCTGTCTGAAAGAGTCATAAACAGCATGAAATAAACTTCTTTAAAGCAGGGTTCAACGATTAGCATGACCTGCTGACCCGGGCCAGTGTGAGCGAGTTTAGGACCAGTTGAAGCGATTGATACTTGCCCTATTAGGTCACAGCTGCCATTACATCTTACATTTGTTTTTATGCTTTGAAAACTTATTTATGTCATCAGGGTAAAAGGTTTTCTAGCTGGCTAAATGTCAGTCAGAAGGGTTTAAAAACAACCGTCTTCTGGTTGTAATATTTTGTACAAGACATGAAATTGTAGTTGGGTTGTACAAAAACACAAGGCCCAAAGCTAAACCTAACCATAAAGTCCAACCCTTTAGCAAAACCCTTTAACCCAATCATAATTGTAATTTTGCTAAATTATTATGTCATGGGAGTGTGTTGGTTGAAAATTATACGAGGAGTGTTTGGGACTGTGTGCATCCTTTTGGTGACATCAGTCAGTAAGTCAGCTGCAAAGACTACAGCCAACTGCCAACTATCATGTACGTTCTGTGTCTGCGTGAGAGGAAACAACTGTTTGTACCATCAGGTGGCAGTAGTCTACATTCATCTGCTGTGACATCACAATTGTGTTGCGCTGTGGTATATGGAGCTACTTGAAGTATACAAATGAAGTTGACTCGTTCCCTTGGTCTAAATCAAGGGGTCGAGGGACTGTCCAAATAAATGTCCCTCATCCACGCACTTCAAAATGGCAGCAGGGATTCCCCTGAGGGGAAGTGCTTAGGGAAGTGTGTGTCTAGAAGTAAAGTGGAGCACACCCTAGGACTGTGAATATATACAAACTATAAACACGGTAGCACTTGCTTACCATTTTGACTATGAATCATGTTAATAAGTTGCTCTTCACTTTTTTAATTCCAGTCAGCCATGCATTACGAAAATATTCATGGATTGGAAAACTCGGGTAAGATGAAGATGCAACATTAGAAAATCCTTCGGTGTGTGTCCTTTATACTTAGTTGTTTTCATTCTTTCATCATGTTCATTTTTCTTTTTGTGTACTGGTTCGCTAAGCTAAACAGCCATTCAGACTAACCTCTATCACCAACTGCCCAACGTTGATTCAACACACACAATCGGGCAAAAAGCTGCAGACGGGGTCTGAGTACTGCCAATGGTGTGGAACACACTGCAAAAATTGGGCTAACAGACGCTCAACAATGACCCGACTTTGCATTGCAGTTGCGGCTCATGTGAGTGGTTCCAAAAAATTGGGCTGCAGAACTGGGCGCCCATGAGCAAAGATGACAGATTTCACACTTGCGTTCTTCTGGAGTGACCTGAACCACTGTAATGAATGGGCACCTAGCTTTCTCCATGTATATTAATCCTCTTTGATAAAAACATAGTTTAAAATCAAAGGAAGCACCCTGTTACAGGCCTTAATGTTCCGAGTTAACACAGTGGTTCCCCTTCAGGAACTCGAGCTGCGTCGAGATTTGCTTTGGGAACGCCCTTGTGTGTCCGCGTTCTGAAGCACGTGTCAAATCCGTCCAATGGACCAGCGAGACGTCACGACCAGGGTGACGTAAGCACCAGAAAGCATAAAAGCGCATCCGGCCGGGCGCCACCCAGCTTCTGCCCTTCAGCAGTGCTCTGTGTATGTGTCTGTCTATTTACTGTTGTCTGTCCGCACAAGCACTCATATATATAAAACAATGAGAAAGTCTATGGCGAGCGAACGGCATTACAAACGCTGTGTTTCTCCCTGCCCACGATATCTGGCGGCAGGGGATACACACGATGTGTGTCTCTCCCTCCACGCGTTATGCTCTTAGAGAGAGAGAGAGAGAGAGAGAGAGAGATTAAGCTCGTGTGAATACCTGCGTCTGTGCGTCTCTCAGCAGTGTTCAGCCGCAGCGTCTACTAATAGTGAATCTTTAAGTTAAACTGCTTCAAGAACCTCGCTACTGAGAAATGTCATGTAGCTTTTCAGCTGCACAACTATTTTATTGAGACATTCGCGGGGCAGCGCTGACAACAAGTTTCTGGTCACGTCTCAGCGTGTGTGCACATCTGTGAGAGAGAACGGGAGAAAGAAAGCGTTATTTCCGTAGCCTACATAAAAAAGGTGGAAGACATGGAAATACTTTGTCATTTTTTACCCTATTGTTTGTTATGATTATTTGCTCAATGTCTTCTGGGGTTTTGGTTCTTTTACTGTTGTAGAGATCCCATAGTATAATAAAAATATTATATATCTCTTCATTGTGTTTGGGCCCCCCTGGACGAGCGAGCATAGGCACATGCCTAGAATGCCTATGCGTAAATCCGGCCCTGGGGTTGGGTATTGTTTGAATTTTATTGATTTTGATTCTGCTTCTGCTTATTGATTCCAATTCTTATCAATTCCTAGTTTTTATTCCAAAAAGGTAAAAAAAAAAACATTTAGATGTCAAACATATTTATTCTGTGTCTTTTTACATAGCAGCTGCTGTTGCAGCTGAATAACATGAGCAAAAATCAGCTGCCTACAGAACACTATGTTTTTAACAAAAATAACTAGACACAGCAAAACAACTAGACTAGAAAATGGAACCGGTTCTTAATACCCAACCCTATTCCAGTGATCTACACACTTTACGGCTCCATTTCAAATGCATCGTCTCTAGGTTACGTATGTAACCATGGTTCCCCGAGGGAATGAGACGCTGCGTTGAGATGTCTTGAAATAACCCCATGTCTTGAAATAAATCATATTAACAATGACTTGATGTGTGGTTGTGACTCCAGGCCGTTAAAATTATTAGAGCGATATTGCACTCCTGAAGTGGTTATGTGGCACGACGCTGCACCTATTAATGGAATGGTCTTTCTCAGTTCCCAAACAAATTAAGAACTACATTCGATTTTTATTGATTGAACGCAAGCGCTTATTGCGATAGAAAACACTGTAACTGTTTCCACTGATTAAGAATAATTTTTGTTGTCTTGGGTGGTAGTTAATGTTAAGCCTATTATATTAATAGGGAAGGGGGGCCCAAAAATTTGTTTTGCCTATGTCACGAAAAGAGGTAAATCCGGCCATGCCCAACCCTACACTTGAATCAGCATCAGTTCCATGAACCAGGCTAATATCTACCAAAACTTCCTGTTGCCTGTGAAATTGATGTCAGAATGAAATGCCAGTGGAAACTGGAACGTCATACACTGGAAATCATATTTCACACTAAAGATAAGAGCAATGGCTAGAGAAGAATTCCACAAACTCTCCAGCAACGGCTTACAAAGATGACTTGATCATAAGTCATGCAGCAGATATCCAGAGAAATCTCAGGGAATGTGCTATACGGACTGTCTCACATATGGTAAAAACATCAAACATACACTCAAGAAAGCATCTTTCATGACTTGTTTTAAATATGATGGCAGTTGCATTTCATTAATGTCTGACACAGAAGCACCGTATGTTACATGTACATGAATGAGTTAGACTGAATGTGACAGATAATATGAACCTCCCACCACATCAAATCTGTACAGAGCAGATGTGGGAATTCTATACCCACCTTGAATGAAAACAGCAATTTAAGTGACAGTTGTACATTGCAGGAATAGACCACCAGCTTTATTTATGCAAGAAATAAATACAGAATCCATCTAACATTAAAAACTCTATACATCTATAGCCAGTAAACTCAGTGACATCCAATCAGGCACAATGTCATTCAAATGAGGTTGGAATCAAATGCAAAACATATAGAATTGTGCAAACAATGGCTTCTGATTTACTTGAGAAATATAAACCGACTCAGTTATACGTTGTTGATCAAAGGCTGCTCCATATATCATCTGAATATTGTTAACTCTGGCAAATAAGGAGCACACTGCTCCTAAAAATATAGTACCTGTAGCCTCTTTCACCTCTGACTCATGGAAAACTCCAATGGGTTGTAAGATTAGAGGTCTATTTATCCAAGTCCTGTCAAGTATCCTCAAATTTTATTGCAAGGCAGTGTGAGGTCATTGGACACTATGTTTTTAACAAAAATAACTAGACACAGCAAAACAACTAGACTAGAAAATGGAACCGGTTCTTAATACCCAACCCTATTCCAGTGATCTACACACTTTACGGCTCCATTTCAAATGCATCGTCTCTAGGTTACGTATGTAACCATGGTTCCCCGAGGGAATGAGACGCTGCGTTGAGATGTCTTGAAATAACCCCATGTCTTGAAATAAATCATATTAACAATGACTTGATGTGTGGTTGTGACTCCAGGCCGTTAAAATTATTAGAGCGATATTGCACTCCTGAAGTGGTTATGTGGCACGACGCTGCACCTATTAATGGAATGGTCTTTCTCAGTTCCCAAACAAATTAAGAACTACATTCAATTTTTATTGATTGAACGCAAGCGCTTATTGCGATAGAAAACACTGTAACTGTTTCCACTGATTAAGAATAATTTTTGTTGTCTTGGGTGGTAGTTAATGTTAAGCCTATTATATTAATAGGGAAGGGGGGCCCAAAAATTTGTTTTGCCTATGTCACGAAAAGAGGTAAATCCGGCCATGCCCAACCCTACACTTGAATCAGCATCAGTTCCATGAACCAGGCTAATATCTACCAAAACTTCCTGTTGCCTGTGAAATTGATGTCAGAATGAAATGCCAGTGGAAACTGGAACGTCATACACTGGAAATCATATTTCACACTAAAGATAAGAGCAATGGCTAGAGAAGAATTCCACAAACTCTCCAGCAACGGCTTACAAAGATGACTTGATCATAAGTCATGCAGCAGATATCCAGAGAAATCTCAGGGAATGTGCTATACGGACTGTCTCACATATGGTAAAAACATCAAACATACACTCAAGAAAGCATCTTTCATGACTTGTTTTAAATATGATGGCAGTTGCATTTCATTAATGTCTGACACAGAAGCACCGTATGTTACATGTACATGAATGAGTTAGACTGAATGTGACAGATAATATGAACCTCCCACCACATCAAATCTGTACAGAGCAGATGTGGGAATTCTATACCCACCTTGAATGAAAACAGCAATTTAAGTGACAGTTGTACATTGCAGGAATAGACCACCAGCTTTATTTATGCAAGAAATAAATACAGAATCCATCTAACATTAAAAACTCTATACATCTATAGCCAGTAAACTCAGTGACATCCAATCAGGCACAATGTCATTCAAATGAGGTTGGAATCAAATGCAAAACATATAGAATTGTGCAAACAATGGCTTCTGATTTACTTGAGAAATATAAACCGACTCAGTTATACGTTGTTGATCAAAGGCTGCTCCATATATCATCTGAATATTGTTAACTCTGGCAAATAAGGAGCACACTGCTCCTAAAAATATAGTACCTGTAGCCTCTTTCACCTCTGACTCATGGAAAACTCCAATGGGTTGTAAGATTAGAGGTCTATTTATCCAAGTCCTGTCAAGTATCCTCAAATTTTATTGCAAGGCAGTGTGAGGTCATTGGACTTCAATGAACCTGTGTGCTCATGTAATGTACAGGGTTATGACACAGATGTCACGACCATGGTACAACTGAACAGACATTTTACAGATGCACATTTCGCATGCTGATCAGGCACTAAAATTCTGTTAGGAAATGTACAGGTTTAGGAAATTCATGAATGAAAATTCAGACTTACCTGCAGACTGTGCTTGTGCAAACATCAGACAGCATGTACAGTAAAGAACTATGCAGAGAAAGACAGCTCTCCTGTGAAAAAAGAGAAAAGAATTACAGTTACAAACTGAACAGATCAAACATTTAGCTGACATTGATATGTGATATGTGATATGTGATTTGATATGTCTCTTGGCAACGTCACAGCTCAAGCAATAATATAAACAGTAGATACAACTTAGTAGCATGAATGTAAAATATGACTGTTGGAACTAAAGTGATTTATTTCCAGTCATTTTGATTCAACTTTTTCTAAAGTTAATTTTCAACCACTACTTACAGTTTTAAACCACTTAAGAACTACCCAGACAATGCGTTTGGGGGCGTTACATTTTTTAAAAATGTTTGTTTTTGAAAGAAATCACTATCACAGTAAAAACAGTAATATTGTGAAATATTATTCAAATGTTTCCATTGTAATATATTTTAAATGTTATCATCTTCAGGGTCGCATAATCCTTCAGAAATCATTCTAATATACAGAATTGATCCTCAACAAACATTTATTATTATTATCGATTTTGAAAACAGTTGTGCTGCTTTTATTATTTTAATATTTTTCTGAAAACCATGATACATTTTTTGGGATTGTTTAATAAATAGAAAGAAAAAAATAACAGTATTTATTTGAAATATGTTCCATTATAAATGTTTTTACTGTCACTGATTAATTCAATGTGTCCATGCTGAATAATAAAATAAAATAAAATAATATTTCTTAAAATAAATCTTACTGACTTAAAATGGGAGTTTATATCCTAAGAGTTTAGTAAAGTTCAAAAATGTCCCACATTAATTCTGACAAGAAAACTGTGATGAAAGGGTGTCCAATCTTCCAAATGACAGAGACAAGCACTTTAAGCTTAAAAGTCCAATCAAAGTATATTACAACAGTGAGAAAACAACAATGCCTCTGAGAGAGTCATTTAAAACACATGAAAGGTCAAACCAATGAACCAAAAAAAGCCTTTGCCAATGGTCTTTTTCTTTCTCTCAGCTACTGAAAGAAAACAAAGTATTGGGATCACATTGTTCCATACACTAAAGCATCACCACATCCATCTAAATGACCAGTCTAGTCAGTGTCCACAAGCAGCGTTCCATCTGCTTGTAGGCCCAGTAACACTTGGCAGCAGCAGCAGCCCTTACTGTAAAGACCTAACAGCTGTTTCTGCTCAGTAGGCAGTCAAAGCTTATCATCTGCCTGGATGCCAAAAATTTGTGATGCTCCATATAGAAAGTGATTGTTTCCTCTCAATACGCCAAGGCTGTGAAATTCGGAGGGCTTCATTCTAAGAGCTCTTAAATCAATCAAATCAATTAATACACCAAAAGGAGCGCAGTGATGTATGATCAATATTAAGACCCTTAAGGTAAAAGGCTGCCCCTCCAAATAATTAGATTAGTGCTCAACCAATAAGACTTAATTTTTTAATTATTTACATTTTCATTTTTAAATAGCTAACAGCAACTGTTTGGTTACAAAGATTCTTCTAAATATATACTTTCGTGATTAACAGAAGAAAGAAATGCATACAGGTTTAAAACAACATGAGGGTAAGTAAATTATGACAAAATTTGCATTTTTGGGTGAACTATCCCTTTAAATTTGATCTACCATATGAAACCTAAAATGTATAAAAATTGTACTAGGTGGTGTAATTAAAATTCTAACGAAAACCCCCAAAAATGGCTTGACGAGTGCAGTTTTCTTTCCTGTGTTGATGTATTTCCTATTGAAACAGGAAGCTAAGGTTGAAGTGGACATGCTGAATGCCCATGTCCAAAAATACCTAGTATTCTTTAGTTTACAGTTGACAAACATGATTTTCTACTTGCTGTTGCTAGCCAGAGGTTGTATTGAGGGAGAAGACATTATCATTCTAGAGAGGATTTGATCAGAAGACTGTACTTGCATAGTACATTTAGCTGCTAAAAGTTTATTTTGATAACGTTTAGGAGCACACTGGCATTTAGAGAGCTTTAAAGTTAAAACACATAGACTAAAAGCCTAAATAGCTCCATGGAGTCCTAATACTGATGTAATTATTTATAATGACAGTTGATCAATCTATGCAGCATCAATTGTTGGTTCTATGATAATAAGCAAAGGTCATACTACATGACAATCTTAGACTCTTTTCCCCCACTGTGGTGTTCAGTTATATATTCTTTTTCTGCCCCCATGTGCTGACAGTGTGGATGTGGGGATGCCATTTGTGACCAGATATTGTACTGTATGCAGTTTTACTTTAGTCAGCATTTTCGGTCATAGCCACAAGAACTATACGCTTGCCATTCTGCCCCCTCCCACCCATATCCTCTTACACACAGTCCCACCATGGACCATGATACAGTTCAGAGAGTGCAAGAGAGAGAGAGAGAGAGAGTGAGAGTGAGAGAGAGCAATAATCTAAATACAATATTTCACCCCTGTCACCTCTAACAAAGTTTACTATAATGGAAATTGTATCCGAATGCAGTAAAAATTTGCAACAGCTGATCTCTCTTTGGCAATTACACATATAAAGTTAGAAAAAGACCAAACATGACCAAACACCAAGCCCAAACAAAGACCAAACACCAAAAAAGCAAAAAAAAAGCAAAAACAGCATATATATATATATATACAGTATATAAATTCTTAATGTTTCTAAAAATTGGCTTTATTTTCTTTATGTAATATATATATATATATATATATATATATATATATATATATATATATATATATATATATTCTTAAGGATAAAACAATTTGCCAATGGTGTACATATTATTCAAATCAAAATAATAAAATATTAATAAAATAATTTGATAAATAATAATTGAAAACAAGACTTAATATGTTACACAATTTTCATTCTCAGGTAATTCAATCTTTTTAAAAAGATTTTTAGATATTTGTATTGTTTTATAAAAATGCTGAGCAAAATAAACAGGTGAGCAGGGCTGATCATTCATTCCAGAGACTAAAGAAAATAATTTACTATTCTAAAACCCAATCTAAATCACTGGTTACAAAGCATAGAAAGCAATTCATTCATTCATTAAATCAGTAATCAAAGAAGTTAATCCAAAACACATTAGTGCAATTTTCTCCAGCAAATTCTATACTTCTGTAAGTAGTGGTTGATCAACAAAGTTAAACAAGTTTTCTCTGTCCCATTCATTCATCAAACTCCAGAATGGACATCATAACGGACCTCCCTTCGTGAACTCATTCTTCCTTATGTAACGGAGCTGACAGCCAACAGGCTAATTTATGACCCATTTAACGTTTGTGTGAAATCTATCTATCTATTGTCAGGACGTGAGAGCGCTGTTACTCACCCCCCGACTCCAGCTGCTTTGAGTCTGGAGTTCAGGGCATTGTCCGGCTCCATCGCGCTTACTTCATTCTTCCTCGGGAGTGTTTGCTGCTGCAGTCAAGACATGACAGAGTTGCTGAATTACTTCCATAGCACAATTTCTTTTAATAACCGCTGAAGGACTTAATGCAACACTGTAGTACAATACTACATGCCGCAATCTCTCCCGAGTGCCAAATGTAGTACGTTCCAAAGAGAGGAACCTGCGAGGCGCGATGCAGCCTTCTCCATCTGACAGTAACAGATCCGGTGATGCTGAAACCTGGAAAGTTAAGTCCAAAGCGGCACAGACATGGTTTGCTGAGGTGAAGTACAAGCGCTTAGTCAAGTCGCCGACTAAATCCCAAGTACTTAGTAGGCATGCTGAAGATTTGGGACACTGGAAGCATATTTCCCTCTGTCGCCCTCAACTGTCTTCTGAGAAAGAAACACTTCGCTCTGGAAACTACAAGGGAGTCAATGGAAGGTGTGTCTTTTCAAAAGGAACCCATTTATTTTCGCTTTCGTCAAAAAATAATGAAGCGAAAAGAAAATGAAAAAAAAGAAACATTGAGGATAAAAGAACGTCACACAAGACAATTTAAATACAAAGCTGGTAAATTATCACACATGTGGATCATTCTCCAACTTGCTTTTCGTGCTGATTTGGCCATTTGCGCTTGTGAAATTAAGGGTAATTTAGCTTTCAACAAGAAGAAATCAGCCCGCAGGTTTTTATTTTTTATTTTTTTTAGTCTTTAAGGCAATTGCAAGTCCTTTCATTCAATGCACATCCACAGTTAAACAGGACAGCATATTTCAAATAGAATATTTTTTTAGAAATAAAGATAAATAAATCTTTAAAAACAGGTTTTATCTAGCAAATTACATTACTTAAATACATTTTTGAAAGGTTTAAATGTAAACTGCACTTTCTGTAATATCATGAACAAATGTTTGCATTTATTTTGGTATTGTACTTAGTTACTTTGCAGTGTGAAATACAGAATTTATCAATGAAAATATTCAATGTTCACTTTTTGGCCACTACTAATTCATTTATGAATTTAACCAAATTTTACATTCATAAATGCCAGATTACTAATAAAAAACATAACCTTACGGTTTTGCTGAGTGAAGTAAGGCTGTATTTAAATCAATTTGGGGATCTTTAGCAAAATTTGTATTTAACTGTGTGGGGTTTTCCACTGGGAGGACAAGCCTACTTAGTTACTTTGCAGTGTGAAATACAGAATTTATCAATGAAAATATTAAATGTTCACTTTTTGGCCACTACTAATTCATTTATGAATTTAACCAAATTTTACATTCATAAATGCCAGATTACTAATAAAAAACATAACCTTACGGTTTTGCTGAGTGAAGTAAGGCTGTATTTAAATCAATTTGGGGATCTTTAGCAAAATTTGTATTTAACTGTGTGGGGTTTTCCACTGGGAGGACAACCTCCTTCATCTTTAATGTCATAGTCTTGCAGATCCCCGGTCTGAAGTGCCATCCTGTGCTGTGAAATTCCTCCTAAAAATAAATAAATAAGTAAATACATTTATTTATTTATTTCAGGTTTATTTGACAGGGACAATGCACATCAACAATACATAAACGCACAATGTGCCAGAATTAGCCAGAAGGCTATTTTGCATCTGCAGTCCCTGGACTGATGGTAAAATGGTCACCCTAAAAATATAAAGAATTAATCAATACATAATACTTACATACTCTAAAATACATGTACCATTCACACTAATTCCTAAAAACAAAACATCCACCTTAAAGTTATACTATGCACATAACCAACACATCAATACCAGCTCATTCATACACACAATCCAACTGTCAAACAAAATAAACAATATATCAATAATATCACAATATCAATATATAAACAAAATAAATAAATAAATATAAATAATAAATAAAATCAGGACTTCATTGGCCTGGCTGCTTCAAACACAGTTGACAGTATCCTGCCTTGTTCATACTTTAATACTGTAATTATAATTTTTTGTAGAAATTTAAAATGTTTAAAAACATTTCTTTCTTTCTTTCACACTTCATTTAACACAGAGACTTTCCTCAAAATATCTTTTTTGACATGAGGATTACATGTGGCCAGTAAATGATGCCAGAATTTTCTTTTTTGGGTGAATTGTTGCTTTAAGCTTTATTTCATACTCTCTTTAAAGTATGGAAGACCATTTCCGCCACTGAATAAAAAATAAATTAATTTATAAAAAAAGGTAATTGTGTGAATATTCTCTCATCATTTACTCATGCTGTCGCGTGACAAAACAAAACAAAAAAATCAGCTAAAAACAGCCTAAGCTGGTTGGTAAATAAATATAAATAATAAATAAAATCAGGACTCATTGGCCTGGCTGCTTCAAACACAGTTGACAGTATCCTGCCTTGTTCATACTTTAATACTGTAATTATAATTTTTTGTAGAAATTTAAAATGTTTAAAAACATTTCTTTCTTTCTTTCACACTTCATTTAACACAGAGACTTTCCTCAAAATATCTTTTTTGACATGAGGATTACATGTGGCCAGTAAATGATGCCAGAATTTTCTTTTTTGGGTGAATTGTTGCTTTAAGCTTTATTTCATACTCTCTTTAAAGTATGGAAGACCATTTCCGCCACTGAATAAAAAATAAATTAATTTATAAAAAAAGGTAATTGTGTGAATATTCTCTCATCATTTACTCATGCTGTCGCGTGACAAAACAAAACAAAAAAATCAGCTAAAAACAGCCTAAGCTGGTTGGCTGGTCTTAGATCGTTTAAGCTGGAAGTAACTGGTTTTAGCTGGTCTACCAGACCAGCTAAACTGGTCAAACTGGTCTACAAGCCTGGCCAAGCTGGTTTTAGCTGGTTGGCCAGCTAAGACCAGCCTGACCAGCTAAAGAAGTGGCCAAAATCCCTCTAAAACCAGCCTGCTGACCAGCTATGACCAGGCTGGACGACCAGTTAAAACCAGCCAACCAGCTTAGGCTGGTTTTAGCTGGGTCTTTTTTGGGTGAATTGTTGCTTTAAGCTTTATTTCATACTCTCTTTAAAGTATGGAAGACCATTTCCGCCACTGAATAAAAAATAAATTAATTAATTAAAAAAGGTAATTGTGTGAATATTCTCTCATCATTTACTCATGCTGTCGCGTGACAAAACAAAACAAAAAATCAGCTAAAAACAGCCTAAGCTGGTTGGCTGGTCTTAGATCGTTTAAGCTGGAAGTAACTGGTTTTAGCTGGTCTACCAGACCAGCTAAACTGGTCAAACTGGTCTACAAGCCTGGCCAAGCTGGTTTTAGCTGGTTGGCCAGCTAAGACCAGCCTGACCAGCTAAAGAAGTGGCCAAAATCCCTCTAAAACCAGCCTGCTGACCAGCTATGACCAGGCTGGACGACCAGTTAAAACCAGCCAACCAGCTTAGGCTGGTTTTAGCTGGGGTTTTTTCAGCAGGGTTTTTTTCAGCAGGGTTTCTTTCTACAGATAAACACAAAGATTTCTTTAAAAAAAAGATAAGCTATTTCAGAGTCCATGTAATGCAGGTGAGTAGTAACCCAAAAGTTTATGCTTCAAAAAAACACAGAAAATTATTACGACCGTAATCCATGTCTTCTAAATGAAATTAATATTATTGGAATTTTTTTAACTATAAACCATTTTTTTTTCTGGCCAACTGCCATTCACTTGGCATAAACGGCAACACATTGTGATATGCGATATACTGTAAGTGTGTTGTGAAATTCGCACAAGAAGTGGCCATGCTTTGCGTTACTTCTTGCGCAAGAACTGCTTAATAACATACTAACGGAGTTCATGTTAATTCACAGTGCATTAACTAATGTTATTAAGCACATTTGATTTTAATAATGCATTAGTAAATGTTTAAATTAACATTAACTAAGATTAATAAATGCTGTAGAAGTATTGTTCATTCTTAGTTCATGATAACTAAAGTAGTTAACTAATGTTAACTAATGAACCATATTGTAAAGTGTTACCGGGTAAATAAATCACGAGAGATCATTTTTAGGTGGAGTATCCCTTTAAGAATTCTCTGGTGTATAGCAGAAATTATGGTTTCTTTAAGCAGGTTGTTCCACAACAACAACAACGGCCATCACACTGCCACCATCACATTTTACTACTGTAGATGATGTTCTTATAGTGGAATGCTGTATTTTCTTCACTCGAGACATAAGAAGACCTACATCCTCCAAAAACATTTCATTTTGACTCATCTGTCCTTAGAATAGTATCCCCAAAGTCTTGGCAATTGTAATGTCTGTTTTGGGTTTTGTTTCATGTTCTTGTTTTCATGTCTTTTATTTTGTAATTTTATTCATGCTGTTGGTGTCATGCTTTCCTTGCTCTCATGTATTCCTGCACTGTGTATGTGTCATGTTGTGATTGGTTGTTCAAGTCATGTGTCTTGCACTGGTTATTGTCCTGTCATGTGGTTCTCAGTTCTGTTTGCTCATTGGTTGATTTTTGTCATGTGACCCTTAGTGTTTGCTATAAGTAGCCCTCTTGTTCCAATTGTCTCTCGTCGTGTATTGAATGTATGTTAACCTGCTGTTGGTGAGTTTGTCAAGTCAAGTCTGTGTTTATTATTTGATCACCTCTTGGACTCTAATAAACTGCACTTGGGTTCTTCAACTTGCCGTTCAGTGGACTACTCATTGCAGCCATAATCCAATTTTTTTTAGCAAGCATGAGAAGAGCTTTGTTGGGCTTATCTTGGTAAGCAGTGGTTTCTTAAGGTTGAGTTGTGAGTGTTAGCCATGGCTGATGCCTGAGACACGTCTCCAGGGTACGCATGTAACCATGGTTCCCCGAAGGGAACGAGACACTACGTCAAAACGCTGGGGAACGCCTTCAGCGTGACCACGCTCTGAATCACATGTGAAATCAGTCCAATGGATGGGCGAGACGTCACAGGCGGGGTGACATAGTGACCAGGAAGCTTAAAAGCACGTGCGGTGAACCGGCATCAGTTTCTAGGAATGAAGCAAGCGCTGGCAGGGATGCCGGAAGTCTGGCTTCGAGACACAGCGTCTCGTTCCCTTTGGGGAACCATGGTTACATGTGTAACCTGGAGACGTTGCCCTTCAGGAACTCGAGCTGCGTCGAAACACTAGGGGAATGAGATGCCCACGCAGCCAGAATGACAAATCTCTGCCTAGTGTGTGTAGGAGCACAGCTAGGGCGAGAGAAAGAAGAGCCCGGAGTGGCTCGCATATCTGACGTAGGTGAGGGGCGTGGACCAACCCACAGAGTTGCAGATGACATGGGTAGAACGAGCCTTGACCCCCAAAAAGGCGAGTGGAGATCAGAGGACTCAAACACGAAGAGAGGCATCCACTATCCACCGGCTG